GCGAACGTTAGGGATAGATGGGAGCTTTAAGATGTGCACGGCCACTACGCTTCAATCAGCTGCCTGAATCAGTCTTGCAGTATAGCTGGTTTTTAGTGGAAGCTTGATTGCGGAATCTGAGACTGTTGTGTTTCATGCCATCTACTCGAGGTGACGCTTCTACTGGCCAGAGTTGTTGTGATTCGGAGCGCTCGGATGTTGGAGCAGTAGAATTTGGAGGTTGTGAGAGCTGTGGCTAAACAAGATCCTCCAAAGCACGCATTTTGGAGGCTCAACAGGCGTCAACATGCCTCAACCAAAACGCCATGGATTAACTTGCTGGGTGCGACCAATTGTTGGTGATCTTCTTGTTTGTGTCTGTTTAATCACAAACCACGAAGGCCATTGTCGGTGGGCCTTCAAGCCCTTTCGGTTGAAAAAGGGCTTCAGAAGAGCTATGTGCGACCAAAACAGGTTAAAACCATCCATCGCTCACAAGAGAGGGTTGCATACAAGTCCTGCTACACCAGAAACAACATCCAATTAGAACTCTGCACTCTGTCTATTTGGCTTCCAGTATACGTTTATCACAAAAGGTGGACAAAAGCCTCGCATTGATGGATGTTTCCTGTCAGTAAACCAGTGTGTAGCACAAGGACCTCCTCCTTAAAGTGAACCAGCGAGATACTCCCGTCATCGAGCAACCGAACACTCTCCTTTGAGCTCTTAAGCATTTACAGGGTGGCCGTGCTGATCGCGCAACCAACTTGTAACACCCATCATCTGCTGACTCCGCGTGGAAGGAACAAGGATCCCCGGAATCTGCTGACTCCTGCGCACCCTGAAACATTGGTGCAGAACCCCAAAACGGTGGTAGATGATCAAATGCTGGAGCCGGATACATGGTCCAGAACACCTCTCTCGCTTCGGCAAGCGAGAGCACCACGGCCCAAGCAGCATGCACCAAGCAGTTTGGCCAAAGATGATTGCGCTCAAGGACACAAACAAACACTGTTTTCATGAATTAACTGGGGAAGGTAAAATACACAGGACTGAGGAAGGATAACATAAATCTTCGAACAGAAAGCACCGTGTGAGGAAGATATATACAATTTCATACAATACCCAAACGCTCTGCGTATGGAGTATTCGCTGACCAGTGGAGGTCGTTTGCAAGGGCGGTACGGTAACTGGCAAAAATATGTGAACGGATGCTTGATTCAATGGCTACACCACAATTCAAAGTACACCGTCGCCATTGGTGGAATGTCTTGTCATTCATCTTGTTGCTGTTGTGTTTCCTTCCATTTCTTGTTGGCTGTGTTGAGTGTTGCGTGTGACTGACCAGGCTGCTAGGTGTTAAATCCTAGAGAGGCTCAGAAAGCTTAGTTGTTACATAGCCAACACCGTGTATAACCACAACGGTCACCAAACCCAGCCGTTCATGACCCTCTATGACTGGAGACCTTGACTTTCTCTTTGCGCCAAGTTGTTTGGTGCAGAGTCTCCGCCGCGAAAGACCTCTATGCATCTTCCAGCCTTGGACCACGTGATGGTCACTGCATAAAGACGGTCATCTTGCCAGCACAAGACATGGACTTGTTCACCACTGATTTGCTTCAGTATTTGCTTCTTGCAAATGACAAGCTCTGCAAACACATGTACCAACTGTCAAAGACCCTCAAACAAGTTCCAAGTGCATCCAATGCCAAGTATATAGTGACCCAGTTACCAGAGCTTATGGCAGCTTATCGGTGCTCTTGTTCTGCAGGTGCTCACAACAAACGCAACATAACACAACTAAGACTTGAGGGTTTCCTTGGTTTCCTCATTCCGAACTAGGGCCAGTCCAGGCCGAAGTTGGAATGCCCGCACCGATCCAACAGCAAGCGGCACGACCAGGTGTTTCTCTCATTTGTCTTCTTGTTTTTTCGTCGCATCCAAATGGATCGAGTCTCGAGTGCGATGATTACATCCTGAATTGTGGTTTCCATCTGATTCTGGTCTGATTCTGTGTGATGTTAGCTGGATGCTAATAGAACACCAATATACAACTCAGTCTTCAAACAACTGACCCGGTGGCCGTCATCTCAGTGACCAAGAGCCTTTGGGGTCCTTGAGGTCCTCACAAAGAAGCACCGCGGACTCACACGGGCTCAGGGAGGGCCACAGAAGGCTTTGCAAACGAAGCAAGGCATCACGAACCTGAGCGCAGAAGTGGTGGGCGAAGCGCTGCATGGTTGGAAGCGCGAGTTGGATGGATGGGTTGGGATGTTGCAATATCTCGAGGCTCACAGTGAGTGTGAACAGGCAAAACATGCGCGAGCATGCACAAGCATGCACAAGCATGTAAGATGTTCACCTGACATCAAGTCTGGGATCTTCACAGCGACCACATCTGACAACTCGGCCCGAGCTTGGCCATCCACATGGTGCGAATTCTGATACATGGAGATACCTGGATCATATGTCATATGGGTCTTCCTTTTCGACTCAAGTTCTTGAAGATGTCACGTGTCGAAGCCTGTGTTGACCTGCAGCCCATTCAGCCGGTGAAGTTAAACCAAAGATCCATCATTCCGGACAAGTCTTCCACAGAAATTAAGTGAGTAAGGGTCATTTGTTGAGCTTCATCTTTGCCTAGGAGCTCTTGCGAAACCCATCGTTCCCAAGTAAAAAAACCTGGTTGGATCCGTCACTTGCTTTTGCCGACGAGACGCTGGCATCGTCTGATACACATGTTGTCAGAGCCATACACCTCGGCCGAGATCTGATGCGGTCGAACCGAAGAAAAGAGCCCGCCGGGTCCGATGTCCGCCGTTGCCAACGAATCGAATCCCAGTGACGTACCAATTGGTACCATTTGAACCTTGGTACGACCTGGTACGACTGTAGTCTGTGAAGATGAGTGCAAGACCATGTGCAAGCTAACTCTGATCTCCTCTGACCTCAAACTCTCAGATTGCTTGGAACCGTGCAGCACGTGAGATTGTTTGGGATCTTGCATGAAACTCCGTGCTACGTGTTGCGTTTGTGGGTCAAACATATATACAAGACATAAGATTCCGCAGGTGTTGGTCTAGTTCCTTTCACTGAAGGACTGGGACGCTGATTTTATTTTAGCTATGCCCAAAACACGTCAGCTTTAGCGAATTGATTGGCTAACCCATCAAACATAAAAGCTTGGAACCTGAAGGGAAATCTGTCACACATTGAATGCGTTCAGCCACACTCACTAAGTTCAGTGCATTCCTTTGCATTCCTTCCTCCTAGTAGGATCCAAAACAGCTAATGTTTTCTGAAAACCTCCTCTGCGATGCCTGGTTCCGGTTGTGACGATCTTGTCCGAGAAGCCACAATCTTCCCATTAGGCTGGATGCTGCGATACCAATTCAAGAAGTTCCTGAGAACTCAAGAGTCTCAATGATCAAAAATCAGGAACTCCCAATCAACAAATTCATCACCATCAATCCCAATCCTTCGAATGGAGTGCGAAAAGTTATGTTTCCTGCAAACAGTGGTTGGGAAAATACTCGAGAAATCTCGAGAATCTGTTCTAAAAATCCGTCTTCACGATCCTATGCTAGTTCGTGAGAGGCTATAGAATTCTCACCATGGGGCAAAACTCTACAGAACACATGACCACATCTGATCTTTAAATTCTATATACACTTACAAACATGTATGAGCCGCATGGGCGTTGTATGATGTGCTCGAAGAATGAATTTCCTAGACATCTTCCAGAATCTATACCATCCATGGAAATATTATTCCCTCGGTCAAACTACAGCCGGCAACCCCCAACCCCTTGGCTGCCAACCTTTGTGCAGAAGGTTAAACAAATAAAACACCGTGCCAACCGCGTCTCTTGGCAATGGCTGGGGTTGGGATTTTGTTTCGGAACAAAAACTCAAAACATAAACACGTTTGAATGAAACGTGTCATACAATGTAGAAGTTTGAGATAATCGATACGTCCAACAAAAAGGGTAAACTATTCAAATTAAAATGTTTCCCTATAGTATGGAAACCATACTTACTATCATAATAAATCTCTACAAAAAAACATTTTAGACTCCATCCCAATCCTCCTGCTCCTGACGCCTGACCTCGTTTCTTCCAATCCGAGCATCGGCCAAAAGACCGGATGTGGCGTACCGTCCTCGTAGATGATCCGCCGCAGAGTGTAGACATCCCCGCGGTTCCATTCGTCGTTGCTGATTCTGTGGTGGAACGCTCGACCCGCGCGGAACGGCGCGGAACGGTCTTCGACTGGAGTGAGACTGGTCAGTGGTCACCAGCAATCACAGCTGTGAATGTGGAAACGCAACGTTTTGGCAGGCAAAAGACATCTAAAGGAAGCAGCATGAGGGAGCCCAAACACAAGTGAAGATTTTGTAGGAGTGACACTCAAACGGCCCTAATTGTTCGCATGTTTTTTTGAGGGGTCCAAGTACCTTTGGTCTCAAAGGTTTGACTCCAGCCGCGGTCGTAAACAAAGCGAAGGGAAGAAACACCTCATGTGGAACCTGCAGGGAAAACCTGGTCAAAACAAATTACCTCACATCCAAGATGGTTCTTGATGTTTCAAATGTTGATGTCGTGGAAATTGTCTCTTTTGAGTACAAACGACGTAGGCGTTTCTACTGCATCCAATGCAACACCTCACCCACAACGCACTACCAGGGACAAATAGTTGTTCAGTTGTTTTTCTGGAAGGTTCCAAACTAATCGTTTTCTTTGGAATCCTCTAAGAGACTTGTGTGACTTTATGTGTTTTTTTCCAGTTTTTTCCCTTCACTTGTCGCAAAATGTTGTGAGCGCACAAACGGGTGACAATTGACCCAACATGAACACGAAACACGCAAACGAATAGAAATAGTATTAATACAACGTATGAAGGATTGCAGCGTTCTGAGTATGCACCATGCTTTCGATTTGCGCACGGTGCTCAGAACAACTATGCGCGAAAAACATCTGTTCTGCAGGTATCTAAACATTGGTTGTGAACTGGTCCGGCCCCTAAACCGTCTTACGCGTGCCAAAATAACGAAACAACGCCCCCACACCCCTCAAAACAGTCTTCCGTGTCTTCGAACTGCGGCTGTGGCTCTTGTTGAAGCCAAAGTTCTGCCCCCCAAAGGCCGCTTGGGCCACCTCAACATCGAGAGCTCGACAAGGACCATTGAGCGAGGTTGAGAGATCGGACCGGGTCTTTAAAAAACACAATTGCATATTTGCCACCAACCACCACACCTCCATCAACATACTGTATATGGAGAATTATAGAGACGTATTCATATGAAAAAACTATACATGCACAACTGGCATACCTATAGATGGTTAATTATGGTAATATATAAAAATATTACATCTGGACAGCTCAAAGGTGCGTGACAGCGCTTCCTTGCTCTCCGAATTCTCTTTCCATCAAACCCTTTGTTAAAAGGCACCTGAAATCAGGGTTACCTGAACTCCTGCGCCGGGTCACAGGGACGATCTCCGCTGAGGTGCTATTCGCCTCGATCGGCTCATACGGCTGATCGACGCCGCTCTTCTGCACGGTGCTCGTCCGACAGAACAAACGCAAGCACAACAAACCTGGATTTCGACATAAACACGCAAATCACTGCCTGAGTTTGTGTGTTTTCCCCAAGCAATGTGGTCACACTAGATGTTCTTACATCAGTTGTTAAGCACCGGTGTCTAATCCAGGTGTCACGCCGACGTGTCCGGCTAATTCGCTGCTATTTACAACGCATTCATGCCTCTCGAAATCCTCAAAGCGCATTTCGACTGCGCAGGCTGCAAAATCTGGTTGGCTGGAGCGGGTGCTTGTCGCGACTGCGCTCTCGTTGTGGCGCCATATGGCATTTTCGGACATGGTGGTCACTTTTCGTGGCAGGAGCAAGGGCAACCTTGTGTTTTGGTGGTCCAAAGTCATCTTTTCGTGACAGGCACAAGGAATCGGAGCGGTTTTAGTTCGAAGTGCAGCTTCGTGGCAGTCGCCGCACTTTGGACATGGTGCTGATCTTCGACGCTCTCTAATTTCATGACAGGTGTAGTGAATCGTGACTTTTGGACATGTGGGTCGTTTTCAGAAATCGGGGGAACTCTCGCGCAAAAGCTGCGTTTTGGTATCTTGATGTTGTCTTTGGAAGCGCTCTTGGGGCAAAACGCCTTGGCAGGGCTGCGTCATGTCAATCTTGAAATGCGGATGTCGTGGCAGGCGCAGCACTTTGTGAACCTCAAAGTCTAGAGTTCGGAGCAGGCGCAGCATTTTGTGAACCTGAAAGTCTAGAGTTCGTGACAGGCGGAGCACTTTGTGAACCTCGAAGTGCAGATTTCGTGGCATTTTGTGAAGGTCGAAGTGCAGATTTCGTGGCAAGCGCGGCACTTTGCGAACCTCGCGGTGCAGATTTCGTGGCAGGCGTAGCACTTTGTGAAACTCAAAGTCCAGAGTTCGTGGCACGCGCGGCACTTTGCGGACCTCGAACTGCAGATTTCTTAGCAGGCGCAACAGTTTGTGAACCTAGAAGCGGAGATTTCGTGGCAGGCCCGGCACTTTGTGAACCTTGAAGTGCAGATTTGGTGGCAGGCGCAGCACTTTGTCAACCTTGGAGTGCAGATTTCGTGGCAGGCTCACTCTCTCGCTCTCTCACTCTCACTCACACTCACATTCACATTCAAACTCACATTCACTCTCTCACTCACTAGACTCCTCTCACTCTCACTCTCAATCTCACTCTCACTCACTCTCACTCACTCACTCACACTCACTCACTCTCACTCACTCTCACTCACTCTCACTCACTCTCACTC